AAATAGGTGGTTATCAGGTAATAGTAGTCTTTTCTGTAGGATTACTGGCTTTCATGGATGTATCACGCTTTCATGTTCTGAATATCAGAAAAGTCAAAACAACAGATGAAAGAAGCTTACAGTTATGATGGGCTACAAAGGAAGGAAAGCACTAACAAACAACCAGAAAAATACAGTATTAGTTTTACAAGGTGCAACAATTTGATTATCATCAGTTTGTCATATTTTGCAAGAAGCTTTGTAGAAAAGAAAAGTTTGTGACTTCTTTGAAATCTTATTGGTTCCATCGCTCTTGATGCATTGTAGTTGAAACAGAGATTTTTTTTATGAAGGTGAAAGATTTCTGTCTCAAATAATCGTTGTTGAACAGATATGGTTTAATTATTTTGAACCAGAGTGGAAATCATTTTCAATCCAGGGCAGACGTAGTCCTCCTCTTGATCCTCAGAATTTTGACATACACAGTATTAAATTAAATGGTGATCTCTGCTTAGGATTGCCAAAGAATCATAATGTAAGCTAGAGCTCCACACAGAAAAAATGTGATGACATGCAAGTAGTTGCCAGAATTGTCCAGGGAATGGCACATAAACTAACTCCTTTTCTTGATGATGGACGTCATTTCGAATGCTGATGTTCACTTTTACGTGGAAAGGTTGCAATTAACCTGCTACAAGTATATGTGAGGAGCTTTGCTTCATCTTCAATAAAATCTGTACAGGAATCAACCAGACTTTATATTCTTTCGAAATTGAAAGGGCACTTGTTTGCATTCGCCTTTTGGGCTATTCTGATGGCTCTTATGCTTTAAACATAACATGACACAGTAGTAATTCAAATTATTTGCCATTTAATTTTTTACTTTGAAAGCTTAACAAATCTGGCCTGCATCAAAATGTGAGATTGAGCGTTTTCATGATGGAAGATACCTCTATGATTGGTTGGTACTACAGTAAAATTCCAGAAATCCGCAAAGCTTGGGACCAGAGGTTGTGCGGATTTTAGGATTTTGTGGATTTCGGGACAGAAAAGATAAAGGATAATATTCAGACTAAAAGTGCAAAATGAATAAGGCGTGTTAGATACATTTAATTAAATTATTATATACATTATTGCAATAATTTATTACATGCATTAAATTATTATTACATATATAAATTGATTATATTATTCATTGTATTATATGTACACAGCATCGAGTTTTGCCAATTTCGCCTCATGCAAAGATTTCCGGTGTTAAAAACTTCTAGGAACGCGCGCGCTTACCCGAGACAATTCCTAGAAACGAGATTCTAGTAGCACTGCTTTAAGCGGGAGGCTTCCGAGAAATGTTTCGTCTAGCTAGGAGGAACATGTCCTGGCTACGAGCAACATTTTAAAACTTGTCCGAAAATGTTCCGGCTGGAGATGGGTTTCTCGAATGTTCAACCAATCAGACGAAAGTTCTGCTTCTGAAGGATCACGGGTAACTTTCAGTATGGCGATGGCTCTCACTGTGAAGTCATGGACGGTGGAAATATAGGCCGATTTAATTATTGCTGTTTTGTTGTAATACAACTGCCTGAGTCATTTTTTAAATGTGTATGTATTCATTAAATATATAACTGTGGAAATTTCAGACATGACAGTATTTTACGACGTTCTTGCAGTTCGGATTTGTTTACAAATTGTTCGTCGCCAAATTTGTCGTATTTCATGCTGATCGTGTATTATCACTGTTATATAATAGAATTTTATTTCTTAAATTTAAGTTGAATAATTTTTTTAAATCCGATTGTATATGCGCGGCTGTTCTCCTAATTACTTATTGTTAATTGCATAATCAGTGACACATTTTAAACAGCATATAAGATGCATAAAAAAAGAAAAGCATAGCTTATGTAATAATGAGTATACTCATTAAATTTTCTATTATTTTCATGTTATTAATGAAATTTTTTTGGAGCATAAATACATTAGAAACTATACTTTTATTGTAAATGCTACATATTGAAACATTGGAAATTTATGGATTTATTATTATGCATGATGAAAAAATTTTTAAAAAGCTGTGCATTTATAACATTTGATTACTTAAAACAGTGCACAACTGATTATCACCATTTCTGTTTACATAATGAATTGCACTTTCCAATTAAGTACTACTAGTGGCCAAAGTGTCGTTGAACACTGGTAGTTCTATCTCAGGTTAGAATGCCGTGAACGGGCTGGCTACATGACGTTTCCTTGGTTTGCCCCGTTTGTAACTGGAATACAAGCCAGTTTTAAAAAATCTTCTACAAAGGGATCCCTCCTGTTAGGCAGGTATCTCTCGAGGCTCTGCCGTAATCACATAAAACAAACTCGTGATGTGCACCACCTAATTTCTAGAGTTGGTATAATTAGTGTGTTTTAGGTGTATTACCGAGTGTTCTATTGGACAGTAAACAACTCGCACATGTTTGATTGCTCATGTATTCATATGCTTTATTTGATCTTCATTTTGCTGAATAGTATCTGCTGGCTATGAAGATGTAAATATCAGCCATATAGACTTTTGTCATAAAAGATCTACCCCCCCCCTTTTTTTTTTTGTCTGTTTGTTTGAATGGACAGAACAGTAATTATGAGCCATAAAGTTAGTCAAGGTCAGAAGGTGGTCACCAGGTCACAAATTTTCCAGTGAGCCATCAAATTTTCATTGCAATGCAGACAACAGAAAATGCACATAAATAATGTCTGATAAATAGATTTATTCAGCACACATTTTAAACTATTTTTAGTGTATGCAGAATTTGGCTATTACTGATGTAATTGATTACTATAACCAGAAGTGTGTTTATCTGTTACTTGAAGTGCCAGAGTGGAGATGAAAGTGATTAACTTGATAGCAATCACCTTTCTATTATCTTCCATTACTAACAATAAAGTTTAAAACGAAAAGCGTGTGAGCGATACAAAACAACACGAAAAAGCGAATGTCACTTAAAAGGAAACGTCACTTTCGCCAATCTGAGCGATAACTGATTCTTGTTTGGCTTTCAGCCAGTTTACCAAGTGAAGATGGTGACCCTATTTCGCCAAAGGGCATTTCTCAGAACTGTTGCTGCAAACGTTTTTTCCAGCAACAAATATCGTATGTGATAATTGTTTTAGAATCACTGTTGCTGTAAAATTTCAATGGCTTTTCTTTATTTTTCCGTTTATCATACACAATCGTATCGCAATTCCATACCATTCTGTTAAAAAAAAAAGTGCAAATTTTTTTCAGAATTTGCACTTTTTGCAATACCGTCAATGCAGCGTGTTTATGTTTTTCAATGTTGCAAGCAGTAAAATCACGAGTGCATTTCTTATCTGTCATTGTATTAAAAGGACCTGAAACTAAAAATATTCTTAATTTATCCACAAAATATCTGGATTAAAAAAAAGGCAGCACTAAACAATCTCGTGAAATGAAATAACAAAGCTCAGAAAATACAACAGCATGAATCATGAACTTGAACAAAGAGTTGAGTGAATCGTCTGCTTTTTTACCGTGATGCAGATTAGAGGAAAGAAAACTTTTTTTTTTTTTTTTTTTTTTTTTTTATATCAATAATTTGGTATTTCCGTTTTGACTCATTCGGTAAGTATTTTTTTCTTCGATATTTCGTACTCAATGTTGCGGTTTCCGGAACCTATAAACTGAATGTTTATATTCTGAGAGGCGACGCGGATTTCAGGTCAGCGAATTTTCGGTATTTGACCGTATTCACTTTAATTTGATTCTGGCCTTTAAAAATGCCATTTAGAATATTTTATATATATATATATATGTAATTAGATCTCTGAATTAGTGGCAAGAATCCATAATGTACAATTCCTTTGTAGTCCTATCATATACAAGACATTACTTTTGGGGATGCCCATCATCTTTTGATGTTACTATAGGAGGTTCATTTGGCTCAAGTTTCTATTTTTCATCTAAAAGAAAGGAGTCATTTCAACAAAGAATCATATGCCGAAATTTGAACAAGCATGTTCTGTTATGTTATAATGTACCCATACATTGTAGTGGGGTTACATATCGAGTTTTCTTCAAATAATCACATACTGTACCTTTTGGAATATTTAGTCTGTTTGATAGCTTCTGAACTGTATAACATACAATTATCCTCCAAAGTGTGAACTATATTCGAGGCTCAAATTTTCACACTTGAACTTTTTGAATCACCTACAAGCTGTGTTTTCAGAAATATCAGTCTGCCCTCATACAGCACAAATTTTGAAAGCAGTTTGCATCTTTCCTTTTAAAAATAAATAAATAAAAGAGTATAATATGAAGAAAAGAAACTTTTGGATTCTGCATTTTTAGTGTTGCCCTGAAGAAAGAAATTGTGTCACAGCACATGCTAGATTATGTATTGCTAACAGAGTCCAGTTCAATGAATTTAGAAACACATTTGCTTCATTCAAGGTCATTCCTTAACAGCAGTAACAAAATAACTACAAAAAAGAGTACTTCAATCTGGGAAAAAAAAAAAAAACATATAAATTTCCAGGTGAACAAGTATAATTGAAACGGGGATAAATTTTTAACATTACAGTTCAGTAAACTTGCTAACTTGCTCTTCTTTCTTTCTTCTCTCTCTCCCCCCCCCCCTTTTTTTTTAAATGCTCAGATGTAAATTTTCATCTTTTTTTCCTCTCTTTTCGACACTGAATGTGTATTTTCTTGGAAATTAAGCACAAGTGAACTTAAAGGTGGCAGTTGTTTTATTTCACTTTATGCCAGAAAAAGGATTTTTTCTCTATCATGTGTTATGTGATTTATAATTTTGTTGCATTTTGCATTACTTAATAAAAGTAATGTTTATAGTTATTTTCTAGAAACAAATAACTTTTAATGAAATTCTCTTAGTCACATGAATATAAATAATTCCTGGACTGTTGATTTGACAGAATTATTTTTATTCCAGCATAAAACAGTCTTTGCTAGTTCAAAAATTAAATAAATGTTGTAAAACTTTTGATTTTAGTTCCAAATGCGGAATCCGAAGTAGAAGATGAATATGCATTCAAAGATAACAAAAGTCATCACAGTAAAAGAAGTGCTGGATCACATGGTAGAAAAGGGCGAAAAAAGGCAAAAGTTGATGAAATTCCTGTGGAGGAAGTTGAGTCAAATGCTGCTTCTGCTTTAAATGAGGACCAGAACACAACGTGCCAGAATGATCATCCAGAAACATATGCACGTTTAAAGGTTCCTTAATATTTACTCTATATTTGAACTAGTTTTAATCATTGAAAAGTCCTCTGAAGAATGCTTATTTGTTCTAAGTGGTATTTTGATACCGAATAATCATTAAAATCTTATCTGCTGTATAAAACAATGCATTAAAAAAGTGAGAGCTAATGTTGATTTAAATTATTCCCATTACTAAGGGAAAATTACAACAGTTAGTCCTCTATGGAATCTGATTTGAGTGTATCCCATTTTTTAGATAACAATGTAGTGTGTTGTGTTAACATTCAGCTGTATTTCATCTTTAAATAACCATTTAATTTGATTTTTTTCACTTTATAAATATGCAGAAGCATAGTATTTTCTAAGACTTTGTTATCAGAACAATGTTTGTTCGTGCAGTGAAGGATTTATATATATTGAAAAACACTGTTATAAAGTGTTCAATTGGAGCATATCTATTGATAATGTATAGGTGCTTTTTTATTTAAAAAAGACTACTTTAGTATGTGAACATTCATGTCATTGGAGAAAATAGCAATTGGATTATACAATAATTCCATATTTTGTGGACACTGTGTGAAATGAGTGTTGGAGTATGTTAATTAGTATAAATATTGCAATTTTGTAAACTGTCCCATTATAAGACATTTGTAAACTTAATTATTACTTCAACTCATTGAATCTATTCAGTTATCCGAGATAGTTTCAGGACTTTTTTAGTTTTTTATTATAAATATGTAAATTAAATGTTGTAAATTTGTACAAATAGAAATATATAGTGTTGCAAATATCACTTTTTAAGCATGTATGGGAATCAGATTAATTTACTTGTATGTTTTTTTTTTTTTTTTTTTTTTTTGAGTAAAATTACGTTAGTATACCAAGCAGATTATTCAGCTTTAAATGTTTTTTAGTATACATATAATTTAGTGCAAGATTTTGCAGTTTGGATAAAGGGATTATATTCTCATACTCTTAAAAAATCAAGTTTGAGGTATAATTCTTTATCTTCTTCTTCCCCCTTTTTTTTTTTTTAATATTATTCTTATAGAATTGTAAATAATCTTACCTAAGTATTTTTCATAAAAAATGTCTCTAATTGATAACAGTGTTAATCAAGTGTGATGTGGTTAGTAATCCTGTTTTTAATTGACTTAAAGTGAAACATTCATTTGAATGGAGCAGTTATGTAATAAAAGAGTGGAATAAATATGAAAAAAATATTCTAAGTTTGTATGTGTTTATTAATGTTTAAAAATGTGAAATTTTATGTCCTTGACAATAATATAAAATTTTAGTTAATTTTTTTTAGTGAACTAAAAATTATAAAAACTTTAAATGTAAAAATAGTGTCTTTGATTCATGGTAATTATATACTGTCTTTATTGTGTCGTGCTATAATGTTGTACAAGTTGTGAATTTTTCTGGTAAAATTTGTTTTGTCCCACAGTGTGGAGGAAAAAAAAAAAAAGCTGACTTAATACAGCCTCAGATACTATATTTCAGTTAATGTGTTATTTTTGAATCTGTATGCTTGAACTTCTGGTGCTTTCTTCAAGCTGCATATTTAAAAGACTTGTGTATATTTAAACTTTAAGAATCCCCTTTTTTCTTTTACCTTTTTTTATATTGGAAAATAATCCATTAATTATAACTTGGGGCTATTTGAAAAAAATTACCTAAGGTAATTGTAAAAGTTCACATAAGAAAGGAAGCATCACCATGCAGTTTAAAGTTGAAGAGAGAAGAATATATTAATGAAAAGTATTATGCTGATTATAAGCACTGGTCAAAGAATCAAAGACCTTTTCATAAAAAAGATATTTGAAATATGGAAAAAATTCTGGGCTCTTTTTAATAAGACATGTAACTGTTACAAAATCTCAGCCATTATATTGAATGACATTGTTATTATTGTATCTAGTGATGCTTAATAAATATTGTTCAATGACTTTAAATTGTTGTTTGTTGTCATTTATTAGTCTACTGTGTATCTAAAGTTCCTAAAACCACGACAGTACCATAACTAAATGTGAATCCTATATTTAAATGTTAAATTTCATTTATAAAGTCAAAGTGATAGAATTATAAATTATCTAGAAATAGAAAATCAGCTACTTAAAGTTGGTTCCTCTCTTATTTTAGCAACTTTTATATAGATAGATGAAAAGATTTAGTGCTGAGTAATATACAGATGTCAATTTTGTTCATTTTTATGAGAATATGTTCATTTATTAATAATGTCGTAGTCTAAAAATACGTATTTGTACGAGTCCATTTACAATAGGTATTAGAAATTTAAAAAAAGTTTCAAGCGTTATTCTTACAAGATATTGCTTTCCATTTCACTAGCCTGCCCTTCAAAAAAATCTTGCATTGAATCTACGAAAAGGAATAAATTTTTAGTAAATACATTAAAAAGATAAGTGCATTTCTGGCTTAAAAATGGCTTTTTATTTATTTATTTATTTTTAAATTCTCATGTTCATAATGTAGCTATTCTATAATGGATGGCTATTTCTTAGATGACTAACCAAGTTTTTGTAATAAAGAACGACTAACTGGTAAGTAATTTTCTTTATCATGTATTGATCTTAGCTTTGATAAACACTTTTTTCTTTTTACATTTGTCTCTGAGGCTGTAATAAGGCACTGATGTGGGCAAAACTTTTTTATGTAGTTTCTGTCCTTATTTTTAAAAATATTAAAATTGAGTATTTTTGTTCTTGTACTTTAAAGGACACTTTAATGGAAGCATTCTTAGAATATCATGCAAGTGCTGTTAAAAATAGTGTGAGAACTGTGTTATTGTCAATTTCCTTCTCTTTTTTTAATTGTTAATTTCTTTGGTGTTTCTTAATATTTATCCTTCTTTTATACTATAAAACTTCTCTGAATTGCATTATTTTCCTTTGTTTCTTTAATAATAATGGATTTGCTTTTGCAGTGACTTCTAAATATTTCTTAACTTATGAAGTAAATTTAAGTACTCGGTTGCTAAGTGAAGTACATTACTAGCAGTAATATTTATTTTGTAGTTTCTTTGTAAATTACATTAATGCATCTGCATATAGAAAATACTCCTGGTCATTTACAATACAGCTCTCACGCTTTTTGAATCCAAAATTAATATAATTGCTATAATACTTTTAGTGTAAATACTATTGACTATTTCCATTTTTTTGCAGAACTCTTTCTGAAAAATACGTGTTAAGTTTATTTTTTGGAAATTATCAATGCTGTATTAACCTAAGTATTCTGGCAGTGTCTTTTGTATTTTAAAACCGAGGCCTTATTCTGTCTCATTATGCATTCCAAGCTTATATATATATACAAACACACACATACCCTTCATGTAGAACAGAATTTTTTATGTTAGTTTTTTTTTTTATTATCTCATTCAAAACACTTTTTATAGCATACTTTTGGAGTAAATGCGTGGAAACAGTGGGTGCTTGAGAAAAATATGCAAATGGAGAAAGGATCGCAGTCTTCAAGGAAATTCAAGCTTTTTAAAACAGATCTTTTACAGCTTCCACCAGACGAATTAAATTATTCATTGAGTTTGTTTGTCAAAGAAGTTCGGAAGCCCAGTGGTGACAGATACTGTTCTGGAAGCATTTATTATTTGTGCTTGGGTAATTTTGTTTTGTTTAAATTTACTTGTAGTTTAGAATAAAAAGATTTTTCTGAAAGAAAATTTAAAATTTTTATTTTCATTATACTTTTAGGTATTATTTTAGCCTCTGGTCTGTATTTTCTCTGTTCTAACGATATAAAGCATATTTTATATTCATCCCACCAAATACTTTTTTGTTGGGATGGGTCTTTATAAACTTTAATTCCTGTCCTTCCTTATTCTGCTGACAGTCATATACTGATGAACATTTATCTTTTTATTTTAAAGTATACTAGATCAGAAGATAAAAGCGAATTTGTTTCATTCAAGACTTCTGTCACTGACGTCCCTTTTTATTGAAAATGCTTATACCTTAACTCATTAACACATATGTAAATAAATTTGCACTGTCTTTTTTGGCTTCATATGCCTACATGCATAATTATATCCAGTACAAAGTCCAAGGTACTGGCTCATCGGAAGTTCGGCAATTCCGGATTTGGGATTTTTATGGATATTAGATTATCAGTTTAAATTTAGTAAAATGACATATAGCAATTAACAATATGAAATAATGAAGCATTTATGACATTATGGAAATAAAATTTTACAACCACAACAACTACCAAAAAAAATGCTCGATATTTATTTGTCTACTTTATTAAATGCTTCTTTCAATATAAGTTGTTTAATTTGCTTTGTTTTTTGTGCTAATGCTTTCTCTTTAATTCTGTGGATAAATGTAATTCTTTTGTTCAGTTACAAAATCTGTCGTTTAAGTCCTGTAGTTACCATATGAGGAATTCACACTAAATTGTCAATGAATTTTTTTTTTCTTTCTCTACGACCTCTTTGCTATTTTCTTCTCTTTGGGTAGCCATAGCTCCTGGATTTAAAATCAATATACAGATTTCACTGTCTGTTAGTTAATTGATGATTGGGACATTGTTATCACAACGAAAAACTTTTTTTACATCATCTTCTACATTTCTTCTCAGATTCCCTTAATTTAAAATTTGCTTTTTGTTTGTGATATCGGAATACTTTCAAATTCGCAGCTATCATCATAAAGCTGTACTACACACTATGACAGTATCATGAGATTAGCGACTAAAGACATGTTGTTGCACTAAATTTTCTCTTGCTTCTATCACACGCTGATGAAATTGAGCCTAAATTATATTAGTTATTAATTATACTTGCAATTATTTCCTCCCATGCTTAAGGTATGCGAGTCTCGAATAAAGAAATTCCCACATACAATTAATGTGCCTCTCACGAGCCAGTTTTAAACATTTTGCAGCCTGACGTAGTCTCTGCAGGACTGAAATTTTGTTGCCAAGTGTCTCCCTAAATTCTGTAAGTTTTTCATCCTAGTGTCGTTCTTAAATTCTAAACATTTTGCCAGACCTTTAATTTTATTGCTTGATATTTCTCTAAATTCTAAACATTTTGCTTTCCGTAAATTCTGCCACCTGGTGCCACCATATTGGTCCTGGGCTTAACTGAATAACAAACCAGTTATTCTCAATTGAAATAGCACTAAGTGTAATCTTTTGGCCAAAAATTTCTACTCCTCAACATGCTCTGGAACAAAATTAGCTGAAGTCTGTTAATCACCAAGTGTAATGTCTGCATAAAAGGTTACCTTGTTTTTTGGTATTTTATTGCAATATTAAAATTTTTAAAATAGTATTTAGACATTGTTGCATGAATCATTTTTCAAGCTGTAATGTGTTGATAGTCATGCTGTGTTGGAAGTAAAAAAATAATAATAATAATTAGTAATGATTTGCCAGATTGACATCAGTGCCAGAGTTAAATTAAGAATCAAGACTCTCCTTGTTTTATTATGAAAAATATAAAGTTTACAAGCGTAAAGCATTAAAAAAGAAAAGTTAATGATGACCCAAAGGTCCAAATTTCAGGTGTTCTGGTTTTCAAACTTTGTACTGTAATACACATTTTATGTGCTTCATACAGAATTTGTAGGATATTTCAAAACTTTTTGTTCTAGTATTCTTAATTAATTTCTGTTTATTGTAGTTTTATACAAGTCATGGAGTTGTTAATCATCTGAAGCCTACCAATTGTTGAATGGCTGAATACTTGGTAATGAAACCCACTGATTGCTTGAAAATTTTGATAATTTTTGTTGTGCATTAGAAAAATACAATCTAGTTTTCTTTAAAAACTCTCCTCAAAGGCATCTCCTCTTTATGCTAACTGCAATGCTTTGCCATAATAAATCATCCAGCTCAATAGAAAATTGTGTAGAATGAAACATTTGAATTGTTTTTTCTTTTCTATGAAATTTCTTCCTGGTTGAGACCCCTGATCTATAGAAAGAGAAACTATGCCATATTTCTGTTATACATTAGAAAAATCTTCAGCAACCAGCCTGTCTGTGCATTGGGAATGAAACTTACATTGATTTATTAAGGTTTTACAACTTAAGCCACTTAGACCTTTGTCAATTTTGACCACCTATTTGTTTAGTATAAACATTTTAATTTCTGTCATTAAAATAATGCATATCCTTTGTAAGCTTTTTGTCAGCTTCATATAGGTAAAGTTTTGAGGAAAAAAACTAAATTGCATGTGCAGGCATTCCCTTCATCTTTATTAAAGGATGCATGGAAATGTATTTCAAAGGGGATTTTTAGCAGCACTTTGTAATCTGTTGTGAGTTAGTTAGTTTTTTTTTTTTTTTTTTTTTTTTTTTTTTTTTTTTTTTTGATGTTCAAATGTCCATAGTGATGGAACACTGGTAGTATGTCATGCAATCAGTTTCTGACAGTGGAACAAGTTGTGCGTATGGCTTGTTCATGGTTTCCTCATAGTAATTTAAATACAGTTTAGTTTCCATTGTAGTCCTTCCTGAAGAAGCAGTCTTCGAATGTTTTATCATAATCAAGCAATTTTTATCAAATCATTTAAGTTTGTAATATATACATGCACCTCTTTGTTTTTTAGCAGTAAGTCTTAAAGTAAGTTTATCTGCCTTTTTTATATAAAGTATAGAAAAATCACATTTAGAAACTAGGTAGAAATCGTGACTTTTTGATCTACATATTGAAATCAAAAAGAGCGGAGAAACTGTTAAAAATCAGTACTTTAACTACAAATGTGCTTGAATTGATTTAGGTACATACTGGAAAGCTGCCACTTTTATTGATACTTTAAAGTAAATCTACTTGAATATGAAGGCTCTCCTTAAACCATTTTTAATTAAATAACAATTAAGGGGCTTTATGGAATACAAAAACATCATTATTTTTAAGCCCCACCCTTTTTTTAAAAAAAAAGTTTTAAAAAAAACTGCTTACATCAGACAAAAATCTTAGTTTTTATTTAGTGATCTCAGTAGTTATTTCATCAAAGCCGAAAGAAAATAAGAATGATAAACAAACCATGACATTATATTTGTCATCTTTATGCTTCTCAGGAATATTTTTTAAACAGCAAGTAATAATATACTTGGTGTTAAAAGTTATAATTTATGTAGTCGTACAGGACTGGATTTCTACTGACAGAAAATAGCCACAGTTGTTAGAAATTAATAAAAGTATTAAAAATTGAGTAACCTTATCTTGGCATAAGTTTTTAATTAAAACAATTGGTTTCAAGGGTGATCAGGCACAGGTTCCTCTTCTTCAGCAGCAAAAAATTCTGGATAATGCACATAATCAAAAGGTATTGAACTGAAATCAGACTGAAAAGAAATTATGATAAAGTGATTACAATGATGTTTGGATTAATAGCCACAACAACCTCATTCTTAGTATTATTCTGCTATTTTGCCTAATTTTAATCTTACATTGGGGCATTTGTGTTCTTTTTTAATGAAAGTATTTAAAATATTTCATCAGTTTATAACATTTACTAATGTATTAAAATTAATTTTGGTACATGAAAGTGGTATATATTTTAATCAAAATGTATGGACTTAAAGAATTATTCCTGTAATCAGAATGTTAAGTTTGATAATGGAAAAAGAATAAATGTATTCAATTTTATTTATTTATATCACGGAACTCCTAAAAAATTGTGTGCTTAAAATTAATTTTTAATTTCAAAAATAGAATGTATCCCACTCTTTAAGAGGTGAGTCTTTGCATGCTTTACTTACTCAATAGAGAAACAAAAATTGTAGATAAATACTCAAATCTATAGAAAAATAAATGTCAGTTATTTTCATTAGGCTAAGTGCATCAATCAGATTAGCTGTAGTATTGAAGCAATTAAATGTAATTGATTCAAACCATGGCTTTCCTTATCAGTTTTAGTTTTATGTTAAGTGAGAAGTTTTTTTTTTTTTTTTTTAAAGTCTGGATATAATTTGTGACATTTGCTAATTCTATTGAGCCACTTATAAAGGTTAATAGATTGAATTTAAATATTTTATGTATAAAATAATTTTACGTGCAAATCTGTTGTTAGTATGTGCAACCTGTGCCAGAAGCACTTCAGAAAAAGTTCACTGGTCATCAGTACTTAAAATAAGCACTGCATTGGCATACTTTTTTATATGGAAATTATGGAAGTATCTAATCATTTATTAGATAATTCAACTCTATTTGGGGAGGGAAAGAACATGAAGGCAACAAACCTCCAGATGTTATGCGAGAGA